TATGCTTTACCTAGGGTAGACGAACTTGTCGAGAAATTGGCCCCAGCTAGGTATCTGAGTTGTCTAGACCTTACAAAGGGTTATTGGCAGATTCCGCCTGTCTGAATCTGCTAATTAAAAAAACTGCTTTTGTGACCCCAGAGGGTCTTTATCAATATACAGAGTTTCAATTTTGCTTACTTGGGGCCCCTGCAACATTCCAGAGGTTGATGAATAAGCTGTTGAGACCCCATTCCGCTTATGCCTCTGCTTATTTAGATGATCTAGTCATCTACAGCTAGGATTGGGAAACCCACTTAGACAAAGTTGAAGCTGTACTCGATACATTGAGGGTTGCAGGTCTTACTGTTAACCCTGCCAAATGTATACTAGCATGTCCGGAAGTTAAGTACTTGGGGTATACTGTAGGACGAGGCATGGTCAAACCTAAAATCAATCAAATAGCTGCCATTGAAAATTGGCCGCGTCCCTTGAATAAAAAACAGGTTAGGGCTTTTCTTGGCATTGTCGGATACTACAGGAGATTTATACCCCATTTTGCCACCCTAGCTTCCCCCTTAACTGAGTTGACAAGAGCAAGGGGACCGGAAATCGTTACGTGGAGTCAGGAAGCCGAAATGGCATTTACGAATTTGAGGACTGCCCTATGCTGTATTCCGGTTTTGATAGCCCCAAACTTTAATGAGCAATTCTTTCTACAGACTGATGCTTCAGAGGTGGGTCTTGGAGCAGTATTGTCACAGTATTGTTACAGTATTGTCTGTTTCCAGACTTAAAGAAAAATAAATGATAGAAAAGGAATCATGGGCACACCCAGAACATGCATTTTTGTATATAATCTTAATTTGCAGATATTTTATGCCTTAAAGACATAATTAAATATTTAGACATAATTTAATTAAATATGCAGGTGTCTTTAAAAATTAAGCATATTTCCTTCCCCGGTCCGCAGGAACCGTGCTTGCAGCAGACAGGGGAGGGAGAGAGGACCCGGGAGCTCAGCCTGCAGCTCCTCCGGGTCCTCCTCTCGTGAGCATGGAGCGTTGCCGCAGTTACCACGGCAACGCTCCAAATCTCGCGAGAGTGAACTCTAGCCCAGGAGCGCGGGCTACAGTTCACTCTGACCACTGGACCCCTAGGGATTCCCCACTGGACCACCAGGGATCGGAATATGTCCCCCCTCCTCCCAGTAAAGGTAAGAAGGGAGGGAGGACATACATTTATTTAATTTTATACATTATTTATTTTTATCAAAAAGCCCCCTTATCCTCCTAACCACACATTCACACATTGCCCCCCATAAACAGCCCATACACACACACTGCCCCCCCATACACACACACTGCCCCCATACACAATGCCCCCCATACACATACACTGCCTCCCCTTACACATACACTGCCCACCCCTACACACATACTGCCCCCCCATACACATACACTACACATACACTGCCCCTCATACACACACACCCCCCCACACACACATGCCCCCATACACACACACTGCCCCACACACACACACTGCCCCCATACACACACTGCCCCATACACATACACCGCCCCACACACACACTGCCCCCATACACACACACACCCCCCCCCATACACATACACACATGGCCCCCACACACATACACTGCCCCCATAGACACACACACTGCCCCCATACACATACACTGCACCCCCATACTCACACTGCCCCCATATACACACTGCCCCACATACACTGCCCCATATACACACACACACTGCCCCCCATACACACACACTGCCCCCCATACACACACACTGCCCCCACACACACACTGCCCCCATACACACACACACACCCCCCATACACACACTGCCCCCCATACACATACAATGCCCCATACACATACACTGCCCCCCATGCACACACTGCCCCCCATACACACACACTGCCCCCACACACACATACACTGTAAGTTGTCAAACTGTTCTTAAACGGTTTGACTACTTACTCTGGGAGGGGATCCCGGCACCATTGTGCATGGATTATTTCTTTAAATAAAATAAAAGTGCCCCTCCCGAGATCAGTCTCTGGATCCGCCACTGGTTCTAACTATGTTTAATTAATTAATTTACTAAAGAAGAAAAAGAAAAAAAGATTTTTTTAAAAATTTTTTCTTGCATGTGAATTTTCAGCGCAAGGTCATTTTGTGTTCACAGACTATTCGGATTTTAAAAAAGCTGTTCTTTATCTCACATTATGAACGGCCTTGTAATTCCTATGCACACTAAAAGTTGGCTTTTAAATGTTGTTGTTTTACCTTTAATATTTCATAGTTAATACAGAAGATAAAGTAATTTAAAGAAAATATGTTGAAAGTATATTAATTGATAGGATTTCATTTATCTATTTTGGTCCACTGTTCACTGATCTCGAATCTCAGTCTGGTGTTCAAACAGTTTTTCTTACGGTACGTCGTGAGTTTATATCCACAACTGCATTTTGCTTTGTGGTAACAAATTGAAAGCCTGGCATTGTAATACGTGTATGGACAGTAGAGAAAAGGAGAAATGGAAGCTATAAGGGAAACACTCATAGTGGGGTTAACCCACATCAAACTACGAAGGTAGTATTAGCAAAAAAACAGAACCATTGAGTGCCCTACAGATAGATAAAATTGAACTTTTAATAGATAGATTTAAAATAAAATGTAGACAGCTTAATATGGCACAAGATGATAAATAGTAATGCTCTCTGAGCAATTAGTTGCAAAGTGATACTTCTCAGTGGAAGATAAAATTCAATTAGTTATGATAAGTACAATATGCAAATAGCAACACTGAAATGGTAATTCATTGTTGCAGGTTCAGAATATGTACAGCCCGTTTAAAAAAAAAACGTACTGACATTTAAACATAAATTAATGAAAATTCCATTTACACAAATATAGTACATACAGAGGACCTGTTCAAAAGTTTTCAGTGAACCTCTGATAATAGAACACTGCAACAAAACAATGTTGCAATATGTGATCAACTCTAGCACAATTAGTGCTAAGTTCGATCTATAGCAAATAAAGTTACAAGTAATATTGCTTAACTTAACGAAAAAAAGGGAAGTTGTGATCACAAAAGTTAAAATCAAACGAACTGTGAATGAGATCTTATGGGCGGATGGTCAGAGAGTAAAATGTCAGTGCCCCGTTATCAAAAATGATGCTAAAGTGAAATACTCAGTAAAATACCACTGATGCTGTCAGATAAAAAAAAAAAACCTCCACCTAAAGTTGCCTCATTCACAATGTCATAATGCCGGGATTCTGAGAGAAGTGGGAACAATATGGTCCGTGACCCACTATGCACAAATTTGCAGAGAATCACCGACAACCCCTGACGCGCACATTTCGTCCACTAACTCATCAGAGGGGACCTCTGGAATTTTCATTAATTTATGTTTAAATGTCAGTACGGTTTTTTTTAAACGGGCTGTACATATTCTGAACCTGCAACAATGAATTTCCATTTCAGTGTTGCTATTTGCATATTGTACTTATCATAACTAATTGAATTTTATCTTCCACTGAGAAGTATCACTTTGCAACTAATTGCTCAGAGAGCATTACTATTTATCATCTTGTGCCATATTAAGCTGTTTACATTTTATTTTAAATCTATCTATTAAAAGATAAATTTTACGTGTATGGACATGCTTATAACAAAGCATGGTCCCTCTCCTCATGTAGTTGGTCGTTAACAGGCACTTTGATGCAATGTGTCTACCAACGCTTTTCTGTGGTCATTGGATCACAAAAGCATACCCTATCTCTCAGTCATGATGCAGAGTTTATGCTTGCAAGGATATCCAGAAATAATCCACCTGGTATCCGCATAAATACTCCTATCGTTTAGAGGGGTTAATTACATAATAACCATTGAACGTAATAAGTTGGTTGTTCTTCTTGTAAAGGAAAAATAGACTTGCCCTAAAAGCTTTTTCATGGCTAGGACAAGCGTACTTTTTGAATGAATATATATTGGAAGTTTGCCAACATCTCATGGTTATAAATATGTTTTTGTTTATGTTGATGTACCAGGTTTACTTGGATATATCCTGTGCAAAGTGCAACCTCTGATACCACGTTTTCTAGTCTCACTTCCTTAGTATGCATTTGATAATCCCAGGACCATCCATTTGGATGGTGGTCCTGCAGTTACTGCAAAGGAAACCTAAAACTGGGCAACCACATTTGGGTTACTTTGAGATTTCAGTGCGCCAACCACCCCCAAAGTAGTGGGGTTGTGGTCTGGGAAAATGCTGAGGTTAAATGATTATTAACCAAGTTACTAGTTGCTTGCCCCACACAGTGGTATCTATTTATTCCTATGGTACAGATGAGCATTCACAACATACCTGATTATACAAATGGTGAGACACCATATGAAATGTTACATGTTTTTCACTGACAAACATATTTCTGCACCAGGGAGAGCTTAGAACCATTGGTTCTATTAGAGAAATTTAGGGAATTGTTTTTCCAGCCCACCTCACCATGCACCACCACCTATTTCCTGCTGTTGGCCAGCTTGTCCTTGAAAGTGTGACTCTGAGAACTTTTACTACAGAGAACAATCAGAGCCAACAGAGAACAGTAAGTTTTGATATTTTACAACCTGCTAAATACTAACAGGACACAGTGAATGCTGTTAAAGATGACAAGATAAAACAAACAGAGGACGACAGAAATGCCACCAGAACACAGCCACCGGAATCATAGCCACGTAATAGACTGAATCATGTTCTGACATCTGAACCTGCAAATGTGAAGGAGAAGGATGAACAGACAGACGTGATACATTCACTGTTAACATGGAATATATGAAAAATGAAACATCAACATCATTATCAGAAAGACTCTGGAGAAAACAGACTGTATCTGAATTATCTTATACAGTAAGAAAGAAATGCAAAGATGCAAGCAAAAGGATGCTAGAAAACAGATTATGGTGTCTCCTTCTTACAATTTGCAGCATTATCATAACATCAACCCTAGATGTCGTTTTAAAACTGCATTGGGATTATGTTAACAAGCAGGAAGCACCTGAACTGAATTGGACTGCACACTATAAAGTTCTGTGATCGTGAGGACTACCTCCAAGAACCATCTCAAAAGGAGAGACACAGCTCACAGTGAAATGATTGCTAATGTGACCTACACTGGTATTTAACAAGGAACCTATTGAGATCATTCCAAAAACTGATTATACATGAGAAAGATGTGATTGGACTATTTCAAATCCTAATAATGGACTCAACGATGATGGCAAAGCATGCTGTAATCAGAAAAGATGGGACAGATGTTTGTGAAAGACTTTGGATGCACCTATGAAGGTGATTAAGAAAAGACTTTGCCATATAGTTTATCATTGAGTGACTACCGCAAACAGCCTTCTTATGCTGAAAAGAAGTGCTTTGCTAATTCTGGACTTTGCTATTATGTTTCCAGACAGAACATGACCGGAAAAAGAAATAAAAGCTGATAACTGTCAACACCCAGCTATTTCTCAAGATGGAACATGGTACTGAGAAAACCTGATTAACTATCAAAGCACCTCACAGAACATGTCACAGGTTGTTGCCTACAACTCAGAAAAAGTGGTTAATAGGAAGGAGCAGCAGAAGAGGAATATAGATTTCCTACTGGAGTGAAAAACCATTCTGGAACAATATTCTGCAACAATGAACTTTACAATGACATTTGGTGGCATGTGAATTTGAATTCGGAAGAAACACATCACTTAACTAAAGAAACCTTGATGCAATTAATAAATAATAATAAGACCGGCCTACTAAGAGCAGATGCCCTGCCAAGAGAATGGAATATAAAAAGCCAGCAAAATCTTTCAGAAACCTGACATCACGGGACACTTGTACTAAAGCACGATATGCAGCTTTTCTTAAACTCTACATATTATGTACATACCTGCAAAGCAAGGAACTCCTGTAAACATAAACACAGAGACATTGATACAACAAGGAATCTGTAATGGTTCTGTTGCAGATGTGATCTACTGATGTACTCCTTGCTCTTTTGGTATAACTATACCAATCAAAACGTTAAATGGCTCCATAGAATCAAACGACAAAGGATTTTTGCTATATTCTGGACTTCCAGGAATGTGGTGCATGGACAGAAAAATTATAATTACTAAAGCAATCATGCTGTTATTTTCCCTGTATCAGAAATGTGTCAGTGATGATGTGTAATATAGATACTATAATTAATGGTATGAAATAAACACATAATGTGTTAATTACAAAGGTGGATAGACTTTGTGAATATCTGAAACGCAATTGAAGATTATTGCTAAAATGCCATATGCAGCTGCAGTCTGGCCTACAAATAAATATATTAAACATAAGTATAAGAGTATAACAGCTGATTACCCAGATGAATAATTGAACCATGATAGTTAAAGATCATATGATTACAATAACAACTGCAATAATGAATAATGTTTAAACTTTAGAAGAAAATTTAAAATGTTTTTATTAAATCAGAAACTACTCGATATTCGTTTAAGTTTGCAGAGTGGTATAATTAATTAATATAAGTGAAGTATTTCAACAGTTAAAATTTAACTGAAAGACAGGCAGAAACTTTACTTCAACTATCATAAAGTTTATTAACAATGATAAACATGTTCAGTCTGCCAGAGCTAAGGCCAATCAATGGAAAGTAAAAGAGTATTATGGATTAAACCGTCCAGGTGAAATAAATGATGATTTTGGAAATTGATCATTTCGGTCACCTATTGCAAACTGGTGAAAAGATGTCAAAGATATAAATTCAACATCCATACCACTCTATGTATATATATATATATATGTGTATATATATATATATATATATATATATATATATATATATATGTATATATATATATATACGTAATCAAATATTTTATTTTACTGAAAGTTGGCTTTTAAATGTTATTGTTTTAACTTTAATATTTCATAGTTAGTGGTCCAATATGGAAAATACTGGGAAAACACAGATGAGCATTCACAACATACCTGATGATACAAATGGTGAGACACCATATGAAATGTTACATGTTTTTCGCTGACAAATATATTTCTGCACCAGAGAGAGCTTAGAACCATTGGTTCTATAAGAGAAATTTATGGAATTTTTTTTTTCCAGCCCACCTCACCATGCACCACCAACCTTTTCTTACTGTTGGCCAGTTTGTCCTGGAGAGGGTGACTCAGAGAACTTTCACTACAGAGAACAATCAGAGCCAACAGTGAACAGTAAGTTTTGATATTTTACAACCTGCTAAATACTTCCAGGACGTTCACAGAACCACTGACTGATACAATGGATGCTGTTAAAGATGACAAGATAAAACAAAAAGAGGACGACAGAAATGCCACCAGAACACAGCCACCAGAATCATAGCCACGTAACAGACTGAATCATGTTCTGACATCTTAACCTGCAAATGTGAAGGAGAAGAATGAACAGACAGACGTGATACATTCACAGTTAACATGGAATGTACGAAAAATTAATCATCAACATCATTATCAGAAAGACTCTGGAGAAAAAGACTGTACCTGAATTATCTTATACAGTAAGAAAGAAATGCAAAGATGCAAGCAAAAGGATGCTAGAAAATTGGCTATGGTGTCTCCATCTTACAATCTGCAGCATTATCATAACATCAACCCTAGCTGTCATTTTAAAACTGCATTGGGAGTATGTTAACAAGCAGGAAGCACCTGAACTGAATTGGACTGCACACTATAAAGTTCTGTGATCGTGAGGACTACTTTCAAGAACCATCTCGAAAGGAGAGACACAGCTCACAGTGAAATGATTGCTAATGTGACCTACACTGGTATTTCATAAGGAACCTATTGAGATCATTCCAAAACTGATTATACATGAGAAAGATGTGATTGGACTATTTCAAATCCTAATAATGGACTCAACGATGATGGCAAAGCATGCTGAAAACTGAAAAAGATGGGACAGATGATTGTGAAAGACTTTGGATGCACCTATGAAGGTGATTAAGAAAAGACTTTGCCGTATAGTTTATCATTGAATGACTAGCGCAAACAGCCTTCTTTATGCTGAAAAGAAGTGCTATGCTAATTCTGGACATTGCTATTATGTTTCCAGACAGAAGATGACCGGAAAAAGAAATAAAGGCTGATAACTGTCAACACCCAGCTGTTTCTCAAGATGGAACATGGTACTGAGAAAACCTGATTGACTATCAAAGCACCTCACAGTACAAGACACAGATTGTTGCCTACAACTCAGAAAAAGTGGTTAATAGGAAGGAGCAGAAGAAGAGGAATATAGATTTCCTACTGGAGTGAAAAACCATCCTGGAACAATATTCTGTAACAATGAACTGTACAATGACATTTGATGGCATATGAATTTGAATTCGGAAGAAACACATTAATTAAAGAAACCTTGATGCAATTAATAAATAATAATAAGACCGGCCTACTAAGAGCAGATGCCCTGCCAAGAGAATGGAATATAAAAGGCCAGCAAAATCTTTCAGAAACCTGACATCACGGGACACATGTACTAAAGCACGATCTGCAGCTTTTCTTAAACTCTACATATTATGTACATACCTGCAAAGCAAGGAACTCATGTAAACATAAACACAGAGACATTGATACAACAAGGAATCTGTAATGGTTCTGTTGCAGATGTGATCTACCGATGTACTCCTTGCTCTTTTGGTATAACTATACCCATCAAAACGTTAAATGGCTCCCTGGGACCATAGACTAAGGATTCTTGCTATATTCTGGACTTCCAGGAATGTGATGCATGGACAGAAAAATGATAATTACTAAAGAAATCATGCTATTTTTTTCCCTGTATCAGAAATGTGTCAGTGACAATGTGTAATATAATACAGATACTATAATTAGTGGTATAAAATAAACACATAATGTGTTAATTACAAAGGTGGATAGACTTTGTGAATATCTGAAACGCAATTGAAGATTATTGTTAAAATGCCATATGCAGCTGCAGTATGGCCTACAAACAAATATATTAGACATAAAGTATAAGAGCATAACAGCTAATTAACCAGATGAATAATGGAATCATGATAGTTAAAGATCATATGATTACAATAACAACTGCAATAATGAATGTTTAAACTTTAGAAGAAAATGTGAACTGTCTTTATTAAATCAGAAACTACTCTATATTTGTGTAAGTTTGCAGAGTGGTATAATTAATATAACATTTACTATAATGGGATCCATGTCACTTAAGACAATGTCTTGGAAATGCTGTCAATTAATTTATTCCGTAAAAGAATATCGGAGAGTATCCAATCTATACACATCATAAACGGTGAAAAAATGTTTCATGGAAAAAACTAAATAAAAAAAGCAAAGACAAATACCAACACCATCACCACGGTGATAACAGATGATGCTGATTCAATATATGCAACCAATTCTAGCCAAATATTTGGAAGGCTGGACTCTACAACCTATACTCTACAACAAATACCCGGGTATTCTACAAACACAACCTCCAGCAATGTATCTAAGGAATGTAAACTTCTACAGGCCTTTAAGACTTTGGATTACAAATACAATTACTACTTTTAACCTTGGATTACAATTCTGGATCCATTCAAGAATATATTACTCTGGAACTTGGTGTTCTTTTCGATTCTTTCCCAGACAAAAGTTTTGCTCATTTTAATCAACCACCTTTACAGGCAAAGATCACACTACAGATGTTTTACTGTTACAACAATGATCAAAGATGCTGGGAGCATAAAAACCGAAAGACTGTTGGAGAACTTTGGTTTACTAATTTAAAGAGGAAATGCTCTACAATGCCCACAGTTTAATGGAGAGAGTGTTATGGGCAAATGCAAATATTACAAGTTTTAGAATGAAATGTTGTATTTCTTAAACTGTGTACTTTGTCTTTAAGAGATATTGCAAACTGACAAGGTGTTAGAAATGGAACATATTGTTTTTCATACATGTTTCTTTAAGCAATAACCACAGTGCACATTATGTTTACACCATTTTGTCCCAGACGAATTACAATAACAATAATGCATAAACAAGCTTCAAGGCTATGCTACGACTCTTTCAGTACGTAATATACTGTGGTAACCTTAGTAGATAAGGATGTTCAGACTTTAAGATGCCATCTTGAACTAAGTCAGGAAAATTTCCATGACGTATGCACCCTTTAGTTATGTCCTTGTATTTTTGCCAAGGTAAGGGAGGTCCTAAAATGAAAAAAGTTACTTTTTCATATATGAACTACTGTAACCCTAAAATGGAGACACCTAAGGTATAAATAGGTGTACTTTTAAATGTTAAGAAACAGAGGAGAGACTTGGAGACAGACGCTGCTCCATCTTAAAATGACAGAGAGGCTGACATGATGACATGTTCAGAAGGGTATGTTACCCTATTAATGATATTTGCAAGCATTTAGTTTAATCTTATAAACTCTGCTATATGGATTTTATATGTCTATATTTATATTTTTATATAATAAATATCTAAAAAGACAAAACTTTATTGCTTCCAAGACAATCCTTATTTTATATTGTATTCTCAATTATTTATATATGTTAAATAGAGGATCTCTTACTAACTATATACAATTATGGCTAAGATATCTGTATGGTTAGCCCTGCTAAGTTCTATGCTTTAAGACATTATAGTGGTAAATAAGAGAACCAGCCGTGGTTACAATATGTAGGGGGTGAGGAACATCCTGTTCTCTACCTTAGTAGTAAACTGCTGCCTAGGGAACGGAATTACGCTGTGGTAGAGAAAGAATGCCTGGCCATCAAGTGGGCTGTGGAGTCCTTGAAGTATTATTTGTTGGGTCGTTCATTTACTCTAGTGACGGACCATGCTCCTTTACAATGGATGCAGAGGAAAAAGGAAAAAACGCAAAGGTCACCCGATGGTTCCTTTCCCTTCAGCCCTATAAATTTGTGTGACATAGAGCCGGCCTCCTGCATGCTAATGCAGATGCATTGTCTAGAGTGCATAGTCTCTATGTCACGGCTGCTCCACCCTGTTGTGTTCCGTTGGGGGGAAGGATATGTGGCAGTGTGAGAGAACACTGCTATATTAGCCCTAGAATGGCACTTTCAGTGTTCCCTGACTAGAGGGGGTTAAAAATCAGGTTGCTCTAGTACTTCAATTAGAGAGCTACATAAACCCTATGCTGAGGCAAATCCGTCTCTCCTGTGAAGAGCTGGGGCAGAGACAGAGAGCCTGTGAGTCAAAAAGACTGCTGAAACTGTGTGGGAACAAAAAGGTATTTTGCAAGCTTTTATTTTTATTTGTTAAACTACTGGGGTCAGCTTAGCTGCCCAGTAGCATAGAAAGGGTACTCTATGTTAGTTAGTCTCCAGTGTGGAGTAGCTGCTTATTTTGATTTTCATGTTTTGCTGTGGCTCAATTGGGGCCTGCTTGCTAAATAAAGCTTCCCTCATATTGGAAGAAAGAACTGTTTCTGTTGTTTATAACACGAGACATGGCCTGCCTGCTACAATATATATATATATATACACATACACACACATACACACATATGGAAACCATAATAATAATAAAAATAAATTGAATTCAAAAATCGATCCTGGCACTGCCTGTGTTGAGGCAACAGGGGAAGTGCATGGATCGGTTATTCCCCAATGTAGTCTCTGTAGTTTTCATTTGTACTTTCTAATCCCTACATATTTGCCAGCTGGCCCATGTTCCCTCCATGTACCATATAGAAACACAATAACAAAATAATTACCAAAAGGGAAATAAGTGCGTAGTACTTGTTGAGGTATTTTATAAGGGAAATCTACAATTTCAACATAAAAAAAACAAAATGAAAAAGAAAAACCATTTGATACCAGGGAAAATCAAATCATATTTTGTTAATCATTGTGGAGTGTTAAGTAAAGTGAGGACCCTGAATCATATCGGTAGTAATGCACCCAACGTGCGTTTCACCCGGTGTCCGTTAACGGGATCATCAGAAGTGCTTAAAATTGCGTTACTACCCAATCTTGAAACTACTAATTTAGGACCACCCTTTGTCAACTATTTGAGCAGTGATTTACAGATTATTAACCACACCATGTCTCTTTTGGAAGCTATTTAAATTTAACCAAAAGAATATTCATATTTTCTCCCTCATGTTTTGAATATTGTGTTATCACTACTATTATTATGTTTTATCCAGTGGTTCATCTGTATTGATGTAAAGCAGATCAGCTTTATGTAAGAGTTGTTGTATTAATTACACTATTTTTTTTTTGTTATATTTTTTTATATTATATTTAATTTAGTTCATGATTAACACCACATTTGTCTATTTCTAGGTGCCAGTTTAACCACAAAGCTGGCATCTTCTCCTGTATTTCAGTGGTGCCCAGTATAATGCTTCCTGATACAAATTTTAGAAATTGAGCAGAAGAACAGGGGCAGAGCGATCATGCTCTGTATTGAAGACGTTGGGTAAGACAGCAGGCGGAGGGGCCACAGGTTTAGTAAACCTGTTATAAAGGAATGGTTTCAACAGGGAGGTGTGGAACACATTGTGGACACGCATCCTTTTAGGTAAGACAAGCTCTTTGGACCTATAAAGCGAGATGTCAGTTTTAATGATGAGACTTTGAGACAGATATTACAGGTATGCAGAAGAGAAGATAGAGTAATACCCATCTCTGAGCAAAAGGCTTTCTAGAAAAGGGAAATGAACTGGCTAATTGTATCAAACGCAATCTCGTCAGGAATCCTGAGTAAACAAAACACTTCCCTGGAGAAGATCTTGGCTACCTCAGAAGAATATTTCTGGAGAAGCACAAATAAAGCAAGAGTTGAAATAACTCGGAGCTCTGTGAGAAACCCCCACCAGAGCTCTAACATGTCTAAAAACCTGTCTAAAAAACAGAATGAAAATCAAATTTCACATTCCCAAATTACACCTTAAAGAAACACAAGCATGCACAACGTGCATTTTGTCACCAATTGTGCACCTTCGTCTGGGCTATGAATATAGCTCACAGTTATATAGCTCCTGGTGTATCTGCCCACAAATTGAGATTACACCAATTAGATAGTTCATTTTGGTATTTAAATTAATGCTGCCCATAAATTCTCACAAGGGTCCTCCCTAATATTAAGGTAAACAAATAACCTACTGCTTTCTGGCAATGCAATCGCACAATCGTATTATAAGTTAAATAGGCCCCAACGTGTTTATAATGTGAAACACAAGTGCCCCATACTTGCTAGGTGGATATTTTAAGATTGATAGTAATCAGAGGCAGGTCCAAATTCATCCAACCCAGCAGAAAACAGGTAAGATGTCAAACTGTCATTAAATGGCTCGACTCCTAAAAATGGGCACTCCTGGTACCATAAAAACCATGATGCACTGTAGGGGCTATGATGCTTGGAATGTTCCTTTAGACAAAGGAATATATTCTCTGAGCTCTGAATTGTGGTAAAATAAAAAAGTGAGGGGGCGGGGCCTGACTGGCTAGCCGAACGGACGCATGTAGCACAAGCTCCTGAGCCCGGCAAGGTAAAACGAACCCCACATGCAATCAAGCAGCGGAATTTACCGCAAAATTCAAGGGCAGCAGTGAGGGGATCATGGAGAACCGAGCAGTACCAAACCCAGAACCTTTTGGGTCCGGATCACCGGCCCCTAATCCATTGTGGCCTACAAGCACAGCAGGCACTGGAGAGACGGCCGCTCTCCAACGTGGACCTTCTCTAAGCATGGAGGAATTATACCCCCCCCTTTGGACCGGCGGGGGTCATCCCGGTCCCAGGAGGCTCCCCACCACTGCACTCAGTGCCTATCGGGCAGTACAACGGAGCGGCATCCAAGATGGCGAACAACACAGGCAGCCCCACAACTGAGGCCTACCTTGCAGCCTCGCAGATGCGGCTAAACCTCGTCTTCGAGGGATTCTGGGCAAAACTGGCAGCAAGGCAAATGGATGACCCAGCCCGCACAGACCCGCTAAACGCCATCATGCAACCAGAAGGAAAAGCAGCGCACCCACAATATGCAGCGACCTCTGCAAAAACGTACACCTACCCCCCATGGAGGCCTGGAACACACACCAAATGGCAAGTGGCAGCGGGAAGCAAAATCAGGGCCCAAGCAAACGGGACTCGGACATCCACAACTCCACAAGATGGCGGATCCCTGAGCTGGGATGCCATGTGGCACACAGCCGCAGCACGGCCCCACACTCCTGCAAAGAGTATGTACCTGCATAAAGCCAACCGGCCACAGAGCAACCAACAACCTCCTCACGGACTGGGCATAGGATGAAGGGGCAAGAAGAACCGGGCGGCCTGATGGCACACTAAAGTGCTAACAAGGGCAAAGAGGACATTACAGACCCTGCTTAATGTGGTGAACTCCTGTTACTAACCTACCTTTATATTCAGACGTTAAAATGCACCGTTATCTATTACAAAAGCATGACCTAACATACACACTATCAGTATTTTATTTCTTTAAGCGTAGTTTTCAGTATTGTGTATCTTAACTACAGTTAAGCATGTTTGACACGCATGGTCGAGCAAATCGGCAACTTTCATTATGTGTTCTAATCAATTTTACAATACTGAGGGCTACAAATAGAAGCACATGCATAAGCTTGTTTAAAATCTATAAAAATGTGCAGCCATTTCCATGCCATAAATGTTCAAAACTGTGATTATTTTGCTCTTAAATACGCTGTTAACCCCTGCATAATAAAGAATATAAAAAAAATAAAAAAAATTTGAATGACAAATTCTCACCAATATGGCGAAACTGACTTTTTTATTTTTTTTGTCATTTACTTTTTTATTGAGGTAAATGTCAAGGTTACAGCAAAATATATCATGAAATGTTTTGTTTTTTTATTTTTTATTATTAACATCAGCCTACACAGCCAGAACATTAAATTACCAAAGGAATAAAATACATTTCACTGTAAAATTAAGAAAAACACAACTGAACAATGCTGCTCAGGATGGGGCTTCATTAGATCTAGACAAGGTAACTATTATCAAAAACGGTGTGATCTTGGCAATGGGCCACTCAGGGCAATTCACTGTTGGTATAGATTCTATGGATAGTCCCAGCTCTTGAAGTAGAGTTGGTATCTCAGGAGAGCAAGTTATAAGATGAGTTTTGCTGCTTTTTTCCACATAGAGTCTGTGTGGGCCCCACTTATAGGATATCTTGTGCTCCCTGAGTGACCAGTCAGACTGACTCCATAAGATAGTATGGCAAGTTAGGTCCCTGTAAAATGTAAGTTTGCAACCTTCCAAGATCAATTTGGACTGACTGAATGCTCGCGGCTCTTGCCACGCATGAGCATTCAGCGCTGATGTCGGAAGAGGGAGGAGATCCCTGGTGCACAACACACAAATATTGTTCCTACAGGCATCTTATATGTAAAACCAGCCCTGATCACCACCTTATTCTTATTAAAGAGTCTGTAAACTTGCAAAGCTAAGCCTGCAAAGTTGCACCTGCACTCCTCTCTTTTAGATGTGTGAATGTGGGATAGGCCTTGGGGTCCTAAGTATCACGTCAGTATTAAGAATTGACATGAGTTTTTCAAAACATTCACTGAAATTCCAACAGAATCAATTTGTTAATTAGGGCCCTCCACTCAAGGGTGGTAGCCAGGGGGGATGACAGTAGTCTTCCCCCCACCTCCATAATGACCCTCATGAGGGTGCATGGGGGGAAGGAATGGGGGAGCACAGCTCCCTTCTGCTTTGATTTTACATATTACAGGGAGGGAGTCACAAGCCAGTAGCTCCCTCCTTGTAATATACTAGTTTTCGTTCATTCGAAATTTCTATTCATTCGTCTTGATGACAAATAAAAGAATAGCTAAAATTCTGAATTTCAGCGAATGCCTAAGTGTTCAACTGGACATGTGTGGGAATTTCCCAGCGCTATCCAGTGTGGGCAGATGACATGTCCCCCAGGGCTTTCACCTGCCCACACAAAGATGGTGGTGCCCAGGACCTAGACATGAGATAAAGAGTTTAAAAAGATAAAATGGTTGGCATTTGAGGGTGTAAATAAAATCAAAAACCACATGCTGCCATGACAGCGCAGCTTTAAGCAGTTTATCCATGTTACCAATCACTGTGTGCTGCAGCACCCTCAGAAGTAAGCTGTATTTATACTCCTTTGAAAGTAAAGTTATTTGAAAGCCAGCAAAATTAAGCTTAAACTATAGTTGCGTGACTGGCGTCAATTCTGGTATTCCCCATTACTGGCGCAAGTACCAGATACTTCTAGAATAACCAAAACACTAGAGAAACTGTCTCTGGGATAAGGCTGTCCGGGAAAGCATTGGATCTCTCGTGAATAGAACTCTACAATGACCTTCGCCGTGATCGTTGGAATGCCGGGCACAGCGTGCGCTGATTGGCTGTTATGTAAGTTACAGCTTCTTACGTCAGCCATGCAGTGGGCGGGAGCCACCCGAGGTGATATAAGCTGGACTCCAACACAATGACGCCATCAAAACTCTGTAGCTCCTGTGAAGGACGAACGTAGTATCGGAGATCAGACACAGAGCCAGCGCCATGCCCAGAGGAAGCCGGAGCAGGACCTCCCGGGTGGCCCCTCCAGCCAGGTAACCGATACAGGGTGGCTGCTAGCCCGCTCGGCCTCTCACTGTGTGCCGGGGCTTATTAATATAGCGAGGCCTGGGCTGTCAGAGCAGTCACATGTCACTCAGGGCTGGATTATCTGCTCCAGGCAGACTGTGCTGATATACAGCCATCATAGGGCTCCAATAGAACTCTATCTGCCAGAGCATCACGGGAAATGTAGTCCTCAGCAGCCAGAGGGTCAGAGCTTAGCCCTCACTGTTACACAACATGTAGTGAGTGATCGGTGTGGCTGCAGGGAGATTGGCCAAGTTAAATACTAATAGTGGTTATGGTTTAGTTAAAAGAACACTCTGAGGTCACATATTAACATGGTTTAGTTAAACATTTGGATTCTTTATTTCTTCTTATATCTCCTCATTAAAAACTAAACAAAGAATGAAGAAATTAATTAATCTGTAATCCAGCACCAGTGTCAGTCTCCCCTCAGCCTCCTAGCGTACTTTACTAAGCTAGATCGTCCAGTCCAATGCTTTTTATAGAGAAGCGTTTGAGACCTGCAACTCATGCGCTACTGACACTGGTTGCATACAGCGCTTGGTGAGGACGTTAAAATGACGAGGGCTGTGAGACAGAAATTAGAGGTGTGGTTTAGGCAAAATGTAAACATTGCACTTTAAAGTAAATTACGAAAGGTACAGGATCTGTACCTGCACCCCGACCATTTTATGAAAAGGATTCTCAAAGTATCAGAACCATTACAGCTTAGTGTAGACGTTCTTTTGCAAAGAGACTGTCCCTACAATCTCTCAATTGTAAACACTGCAAAAAGGCAGCGTGTTCATTGAGCGATAAGGATACCTCTAGCGATTGTCACTCAGGCAGCCGCTAGATGCATTCCTTTCTTGCAGAACTGACGCTCAACACCTTAAATGTCTTTATGAAGGTGCTGCATGCTCCCCACAAAGATGCATTTCTATGTGGAGATGTTGATTGGTGTAGCTTGGTAATTATTGCGCTTACACAATTATGTTATTTATAAAGCGTCAACAAATTCCGCAGTGCTCTACAATGGGTGGACTAATAAACATGTAGTTAGACATGTTTGGACACACAGGAATATAGGGGTTGAGGGATCTGCTCAATGAGTTTACGTGCTAGAGGGAGTGGGGTAAAGTGACACAAAAGGTAAGGATAGTAATTATAGATGCAAGAGAGGAATCAGTGGGGAGCTATTAACAGTTTAATTGATACGCTTTTATGAAGAAGTGGGTTTTTAACAATAACGCCTGCCCCCACCCACCAATCCCCATTTATTGGGAAACATTGGATTAGCAGTGATCACTGTCATGGATAGAAGTAAGATGAGGCATGTACTCTAGTTAGGTATGTACTCTAACATAAAGGTTTTAGTGCTCCTTTAAAGGGATTCTATAGTGCCCTCCTCCCGCGGGGTTGAAGGGTTTAAAAACCCCTTCAGTCGCTTACCTGAATCCAGCGCCGATACTCCTAGGTGCTGGGTCAGGCTCCGCCCATGCTCCTCCCTGTCCGGCAGGGGAGACCTAATGCGCATTTGCAGCAATGGTCGTGCTCCTATTAGGATTTCCCCATAGACAGCCACTAGAGAAAGAGTTAACCATTTCTCAGAAACTACAATTATTACCGCTGTAAGGGACATGGGATGTTGCACCCAGACCACTTCAATGAGTTGAAGTGGTCTGGGTGCCTACAGTGTCCCTTTAACTTTGACAAATATATATATATTTGTGTGTGTGTATGTGGACAGAGTGTTTGTCAATTTTACTATGAACATGTAAAAACATCCAATAATTGGCAAATTAACCCCTTAAGGATGGATCCAATTATACAAGTTGTGATCAAAACATAAACAAAACCTGGAATTAGCACTAGATATCTGTTCAACCGTAATTCATTTCTTTCATATTAAATGCACCCACACGTATTATATATGTGTATATATATCATTTTGTTCTGGAGAAAACAGAAATTTTTACTTACCGTACATTCTTTTTTTTTCTTAATATGGTGGCAGTACATGTGGGTTTTGCCACTTTCCTGTGGACAAGCATCTAACAAGATTAATTAAATCAACAAACCCCTCCCCCTTGCCCTATAAAAGGGCTATCTGGCAAAACCTACCTCAGTAAGTAGCAAGAAAAAACCACAGATAAAATACTGTAATCAAGAAAATGTAATATAGAGGGAGGGAAGCTGTACTGCCACCATATTAAGAAAAAAAATTTTACGTTAAATAAAACTTCATTTTTTTTCTGTCATATGGTGGCAGTACATGTGGGATATAGCAAGATCCCCAACCCGGGTGGGTCCAATGTCACACCAGGTCGCAACCTTTACGTCCAAAGACCGTTTCAGAGGATGAGAATATCTCTAGCCTGTAGAGTTTAATGAAAATGTGGAAAGGCAGCCCAAGACGGTGCCTCACAGATGTCCACTGGAAGAAACAAGAGCTCTTACTGCCCCTGAGGCAGCCAATATCCTAAGTGTAAAGAGCCGTGAGAGAAACTGGAACTTGAAGACCACAGTGAGAAAACTGCCAACCTACTCACTCGTCTGAGTCAATTGAAACAAAGAATTGCAGGAAGCACCGTATCCTTGTAATTTTTATTGGAGGATAACAAACAGATGGCCAGAATACCTGAGCTCTTCAGTCCTCGAAGAGAGATATTGCAATGCTCCTTTTAGATACAAGAAAAAAATATTTAAGCCCCAGAGGAGAGGTGGCATAACCACCAAAAGGAAAGCAGAAACAAACGGTGACTCGTAGTACAAACCCGTAGGAAAAAAAAGAAAGGTTTAGGGTGAAGAACCACCGTGTCCACGAGCAATACTGAAAAAAAAAAAAAAAAAATCATCTGGGGAGGAAAATGACTGAAGCTCACTGAACCTTCTAGCCGATGTGATGGCCCCCAAGAAGGTGGTCTAGAGCAGTGTTTCCCAACCCAGTCCTCAAGACACACCTACCAGTCCAGGATTTAGGGATTACCCAGTTGTGTCTAAGGTGTTTTTTTTTCTTCTTTGTAAAAACACCTTAGACACAACTGGGTAATCCCTAAATCCTGGACTGGTAGGTGTGCCTTGAGGACTGGGTTGGGAAACACTGGTCTAGAGGAACAAAACATGTAAGGGAAACCTTTTAACAGGATCGAAAGATTGTTACCAAGAGCCAGTAAAATTAAAGGATAAATCCCAGGAAGGAAAAACAGAACTCTAGGAGGATGTCTGGACCTGGCAGATTACAAAAAACCTTAAGCTTAACATATGGATGCAAAATCTTATTTCAGCAGGATTCTCATGATTGAGGCCTGAACCTCAAAGCAGAAATCATTGAAGCCTGCAGAAAAAATATCCTGAAGACATTAAAGCATGGGTCTACAGATGGATGAACACACTGGCAGTGGTGTTCCCAACACCAATTAAAAAAAAAAAAAAAACCCTTTTTAGAAAGTAGACCTTTTAAAGCAGGAAATCTAGTTGATCAAAGCAACACAGCCAAAACTACCTTCTTGCAGACCTAGATGATGAAGAAGTAACTTAGCAATAGCCAGGCCATTAACCTGGACCTCTACAGAACCACTAGAGTAGATTCCTATTCATCATGAGATCGTTCGAGATTGGAAGCTACCACTGTGTGGAGGCCATCTTCTTGAACGTCGGGAACCAGAACCTCGTATGGCCAGAATGGAGTAAGAACCAGGATAAGGCTCCGACAGCCCTAATGTTCAAAGACAACTTGGAAATAGCGGAAGAAAGACGCATGCCAGCCTGACATTACATTACAATGAGTGTTTTTGGCTTGCCAACAGGGCCATGTCTGTAACACCAAATTTCCTCTCCAGATTGTAAAAATTACAAGGATCAAACTTTCTGATTCCAATTTCCTTTTCTGAGCTCGACGGCTATGTCATTGTCAATTGAACTGCCGAAATATCTACTAGATAATTTTGCACCTCAGCAAGATAACCGCATGCAGGCGAGAAAGAGCGCCTACTCTGGTTCCTCTCTGCCGGTTGACGTATCAAAAACTTTGTACAAGTGTCCGTATGAATCTTTACGGCTTTCCGCCGTATCCATGGACTGAAGAGATGAAGGGCAGGAAGTACAACTTTAAACCCGAAATCTGCGGATTCTCCCTTAACCATTACCACGAAACATGTGACTAGATAAGAGCATCTGTAGTGATACCCAACAAGATCATTAGACGGAAGACAAGCCTCCTGAAAGGAACTCTATCTAATTCAAAAAACTGATCCGCTACAACCAACTCCCTTACTTTTATGATAGGGGAGAGAAAACCAACAATGTGTTTGACTTGAACACTAGATCTAGGAACTCTTTTGAATAAGAACTAGAATTTATTGATTGCCGGTAGAATCGTCAGCGTCACAGAAATGTTTCCCTCTGTTTGCTCCGTCTGATCTCCAATAAATTTTTTTCTTTTACAAAAATCGCCATTTTTTACACATTTACTTTCTTTAGAAAGTACAGCGGCCACACTCTGTAATCTCCTGTTTCAAATTATCGGAATTTGCTCAGTATATTCTTAGTCTCTAAATTGTGTTAAAATTTTCTTCAAGTGAGACCCAAACAGCTTCTTCTTACCCAAGGGAAGCTCACAAAGGACCGATTTTGATGCGGTATCAATCCTCTATGATCTCAACCATAAACTACCAAACATCCACAGTCATAAAGAGAAAAGGGGATTTACCTTTGACAACTGCAAATTCTGGAACGATTGGAGCAGAGGTTAATCCTGTCTCCAGGAATTATGTTCTGCAGTGCGTTGAGCAAAAAAAGGAAAACAAAAACAAACCAAAAAAACAATATCTCCGGTTATGGCAGCTCCTGCTAGTAAAGCTGTCTGATAGGTTTGCCCTGAAATCACATACCTTGTGGGTGTCTCTTAACCGTCCATAACGCCCCGAGATATCAGTCACATATACGGAATCTGTTCAAACAGAAAGCATACCTAGTCAACATGTGCTATATACCAAGGTTACGCAGCTCCTGTGGATACATATACCGAGGCGGCGTCCTCACAGAAGCTCATATATAGAGCCTAATAAGGATACATGAACTGAGGCAGTAACCTCCTGGTAACTCATCCATAGAGCATCGAGTGAAGACATATACTGAGGCCCTGTCTTCCCAGTACCTCATACATAAAGCATATAGAGGATACATATACAGGAGGTTATGTTCTCATAGTAACTATAGCCTAGGGCATTATACTGAGGCTGTGTTCTCAGAACTCATACATAAAGTATATAAAAGGTACATCTACCGAAAAACTGAACCCTCATAGAAACTCATATATAGCGCATATAATGGCTACATCTACTGAAGCAAAGTCCTCACATAAACTCGTCATATAGTGGATACATATACAGAGGCTGTGTCCTCATAATAACTCATACATAGAGCATATCGTGGGTGCAAAAAAGGTACATCTACCGAAAAACTGAGTCCTCCTAGTAACTCATACATAACGCCTATAGTGGCCACATATACTGAAGCAGAGTCCTCACATAAACTCGACATAGAGTATATAGTGGATACATATACAGAGGCTGAGTCCTCATAATACTCATAGCAAATAGGGCCATGTCTGTAACACCAAATTTCCTCTCCATACTGAGTCCTCACAGTAACTCCTAAATAGAGCATATACGGAGGCTGAGTCCTCCTAAAAACTCATACATAGCGCATATAATGAATACAAATACTGAAGCAGAGTCCACACTTCAACTCGTCATAGAGCATATAGTGGATACATCTACTGAGGCTGAGTCCTCATAGAAACTATACATAGCGCATTAAGTGGATACATATCAAGGCGTCATAGAACATATAGTGGATACATTTATAGAGTTTTTGTCCTCATAAAAACTCATACAAAGAGGCTATAGTGTGTACACATACTGAGGCTGAGCCCTCATAGAAACTGGTGCCTGGAATCCCTCTCACCTTTAGATTACGCTGTCTTGCGTTATCTTCCAGCTGCTCCACTTTGGCACTCAGTAATGTGCACTGGTCGGTTAGGTCTTGGTCTTTGGGTTGCAGTTGTGTAAGTCTTAGGCCTTTAATGTCGTCTTCTGTAGCTTGAATGCTGCCAGACAGTGTGCCAAGTTCTTTCTTTAGTATGCCTATCTTAGATGCAAAAAAGACTAAGGTTGGCCACCATGGTGTCTAAATACTGTTTGGTGGCTACTGGAGGTTCCCTTCTGACAAGTGACAAGGCTCGGTTGCCCCCAGCTGAGGTAACAGCTTGTCTTTCTCGTCAGAGTCTGGGGATAATCCTCGAGGTAGGTCTGGGAATGTGTCCGCCATCTTGGGCCTTGGAGGTCATGAGAGGAGTAGTCCAATATCGTGGATTTGTCCTCCGCTAGACCCTCAAGACTTTCGGAACTGTTTCTGCATAGCATTCTCAGAGTGGTGCTGTTGGAAGACAGAAGTCACTCTTTTTTGCAGTAAGGTATCGCTTTAATGCAGGCCGCTTGCCAGAGCTCAGGACTCATGCGGCTGATCAGAGTACTGGCAGGCTGCTGCGCCCCCTAGGTCAGGTTTTTTGTTTAGTTTTTTCTTTTAACTTCCTGACCAGTTTTTCTCTTTAGTAGTACAGAAAAATATATCTTGTTTATTTTTCAAAAAAATACATTACGGTAAAATATGGCATGTAGTAAAGTATAGTGACACTTTAAGTAACTATAATGACACTGTCATTAAGATGATTAATGCATTCATCCAAAATGGTCACGTGTTAAGTACTGTGGCCGTGCCCCCCACCCTTGGCTTAGTAATAGTGAAACTATAGTTTACTGGCTGCCATATATTTTTTTTGTAATAATAAAGAAGATATATTTTTCCTACACCTTTGTATCAACTCCGCTTTGAGTGCAAAGAATATTTCATTTGTGCAATTTCAATTTTTAGATGACCCTATAATTGCAGTGTGGAGAGATGCCGCAGGAGCAGTGAGTACAAATTATGTGGCTACATGGAATGTATAACATATAGTTACGGAAGTACAGATGGACTTGTTTGCTGTGTATGACATAAGGTTCTCTCTGTATCGACCTACTATTGTGATATTTTCAGGGGTATGTGTAGGTTAGAACCAGTGCTGAGCTGTGGACAATGTGTTTTTGCCATGGATCTCTGGCGTGGTTCATAAATACACAGTTTATTTGGTGAAATACAGATGTACAACTTGACTATTTTTTAATCTACTTAACATACACTTGTTATGACTAACATGACTTTGTGCCTCACTGTAGATGGCAAAATTATACACTTTGCAAACGTGCTTGTGAATGAAAATATAGAAACACATAACATGGCAACTTTAATTCTATTTCTACAGCCGGGCACCTGTAATGAGGTCAGCACCACCTCCTGCAGCTCGTCCACCTGCCCCTGTAGCTGCAGCTCCTTCAGCAGTTGGACCTGTAGGGGCACCCAGGCAACCAGGTCTGATGGCACAGATGGCTACCACAGCTGCTGGAGTGGCAGTGGGCTCTGCTGTGGGACACACACTTGGGCATGCCATTACAGGAGGTTTTGGTGGAGGAAGCAGTTCAGAGCCAGCAAGGAACGACATCACTTATCAGGTAATATAAATATACTAAAATATTTGCTTGATGTTGTAGGTACAAATACCAAAATGTTGTCAGGCAAACTCTAGTGGAAATAATTACAAAAAGATAATAGATTTGCCATTTATGTGGACTTTATTAGACTTCGGCATCTTTCCTTTTTTTTTTTTTTTTTTAAAGAATGCAGATTTGTCTGAATTTCGTGCAGTTCATTTGTACAAAACACAAATTAAGTAATTTCAGCTTGCTCAAAATGATAGAAAACAAAGTTATCGTAGACATGTGCATGCACAGCTCATATTCAATCCTGTAGTTCACTTCTAGGTGCTAATTGCAGCACCCGCTTTTTGTACAGGGTTAGTGTTTATTAGCTTGAGCTATCCTCTGACAATGAGTGCAAAACTTGGATCATATTGATATTGCCAAGTAGGAAATGTTAAATCCAGCTGTCTGACGTAGGACTGTGTTTACTATCCCTGCTATTGCATGCTGCATTGCTGTATATTTAGTTGGTTTGCACTATTTTTTTTTCCCAAAAAAAATTTCAATAGTGCCTGCAAGTATTATGCACTGAACTTCTCTTTTACTTTATTAGTACTGGATGGATTCATGGTTCTCCTAATTTACATATTTTTTCTTATCTAATAATGTATCCTTTATTTACTGATATTCACAGGAACCAGCTCCTTCACAGCCAGTGTATCAGCAGCAGCAGCAGCCCCAGTATACACCCTGCCAGTACGAGCTCAAGCAATTCTTAGAGTGTGCTCAGAACCAGAGTGACCTGAAACTATGTGAAGGATTCGGAGAGGTGCTGAAACAATGCCGCTTTGCAAATGGTGAGTTTCCATGCATTCATAAGTAGATACAGTAGAATCACATACTACGGTGAAATTTATTAAAGCAAAAACCTGTGGCATTCTGAGGCAAATTGAAAATAGGGAGCAATCACAATGCAAACCAGTAGAATATCTTAACATGTCGCACCAGTTTTGCCTTTTAAAATCTCTCCATACAAGCTCTGTTTTCATTCTGTTACTGACACAAAGCAATTTGCATCGTGGCGCCTATTGAGTCCCTTTAATATATAAAGGATAAACTACACAGTGTTACAACTTCACAAAATCTGGAAGGAGCAGAGATATTGTGAAGCTGAAACAGTTGCTGCTTCACGGAAACTCTGCTCCTGACAGATCTTATATAGATTGACTTAATTTAGTACATGCGGGGAATCACAGAAGCTGTGCTCTGACTCACTAGAGCAAACCAAAACTGTGAGTTGAGCCTTAATGAGGCATGCGCCTGCCGCAACTGCAGACCTCACGTTCCCACAAACTTGTCTTGCCCAGCTGTTTGCACCATGGCATGGCTAAATATAAAAAAAAAAAAAACCCAAAAAAAACCTTCCCGGGTGTCAGGCGATAAGAATTCCACATGCCTGCATATGGAATTGTTGTACTTAATGTGAATATTTCGGTAAATGAAATTTGCAAAAAGGGTTAGTTTTATTTTTTCTATGTGGTGTGTGCATTGGGGGTTTATATTATCAACCACATTAGGGAAAGTGGTTTATCCCGTCATTTGCACAACGCTGTTGTGTGATCCTATATCCATTAAATATTTCAAAGTAACCTTGGTTGTGTAGAGTGACGGGGCAAGTATGTTTGTCGACATAAGGATCTAATTATCATATTGCCAAGTATATTGAAATTGTTTTCTTTGATTGCAAAACTGTGTATGCCCAAATCTTGTAATCTTTTATTTAATGATCTTCTTGTGCATCCTTCTTTCTAGGCTTATAAGTGCATTTGCTAAGAGATAATAGGATACTCGCATTGAGGAGGAGAAGCTTTGGAATCAACAGCATGACCCAGACAAACTATAACAAGATTCTACAGTCATTCATTGAATGGTTACGCCATTGGCAATTAGTAGTAATTATGCCTATTGATACAGGAGAAAATGACGGGTAGGGTTTGCACACATGCAACTGACGCACAACTGTAAAAGAGTGGACCAGAGAGAAAGATCTGTTTCACAGGATATATGTATGTCACTAGGCTGTCTTTCCTTTTTTTTTTTTTTTTTATTTAAATAAATTCTTTTCCAAACTCTTGTTATGGTTGTCTTATATGGTGTTTAACGCTGAATTGGTCACTTGACAAAGTGTACAAGAGTTCTGTGCAGGGGCAAAGCTAGAAACATTGTCCTGGTGTGACAGGAAATAAAGGGCCCTCTCACTGTGTGTGTGGTGGGTGGTCGAGTGTGATTGTTTGTGGTAGTGTGACTGCTTTTTTTATTATTAAACTCCCCTCCTGCTTAACTTTGTGCAGGTATGGGTGTTTTATCCTTGGTTTAGAAGTGTTTGGTTTGCACCTCCAGCGGATGCACACACAAACACGCTCCTTCTGCTTGGTGCTCAATTACCCATGTGTTGTTATGGCATCCAGCGGAAGCGCTCTGACTCACTGAGCACAAGGACCTGCTTCCTAGCAAGCTGTAAAAGGTACTTAACATATTGCCATAATGGTAATGTATTAAACATGATTCTGCAAGGTGGGACCAGCCTAATCTCCATAGGGACCATTTCTGACTCTGGTAGGTTAGTCACTAAATCTAAATAAAAATTATGTTGAAAACTTTGATTTCTGTGAAAGGGAGCTGTATATTGTAGGATATGAAATATCACTGAATAAAGATGTAACCACTTACAGTGCCTTGCAAAAGTATTTACCCCCTTGACTTTTTACCAGTTTTTTATATTACAGTCTTAACGGATAACTATAGGGTCTGGAACACAAACATGTATTCCTGACCCTATAGTGTTAAAACCACCATCAAGCCCCCCTGGGTCCCTCATGCCTCCATAAATATAGCAAAATCTTACTGTATTAAAGCCTGAAGCTGTAAATCTGCATGCAGTTTGACTCAGAAAAACAATGTCTGCTGACATCATCAGAAGTGGTGGCCTGAGCCAATCACAGTGCTTCCCCATAGGATTGGCTGAGACTGACAAAGAGGCAGATCAGGGGCAGAGTCAGCATGATTCAAACACAGCCCTGGCCAATCAGCATCTCCACATAGAGATGAATTGAATCAATAAATCTATGAGGAAAGTTCATTGTCGGCATGCAGAGGGAGGAGACACTGAATGTTTGGATGCATTTTAGGCAGCAATGACTCAGGAACGATCTCTAACAGCCATCTGAGGAGTGACCAGTGAAGTTATTACTAGGCTGTAATGTAAACACTGCATTTTCTCTGAAAAGACAGTGTTTACAGCAAAAAGCCTAAAGATAATTCTACTCACCAGAACAAATTCAATAAGCTATAGTTGTTTTGGTGACTATAGTGTCCCTTTAAGTTCAATGTTTTATTAATCTGAATTTTATGTGATGTATCAGAACACAATAGTCTAAGTTGGTTAAGTGAAATTAGAAAAATATATACATAAAACTAATTTTTTAGAAATAGAAAACAGAAAATTAGTATGTGCATATGTATTCACCCCCTTTGTTATGAAGCCCATAAAAAGCTCTCGTGCAACCAATTACCTTCAGAAGTCACATAATTAGTGAAATGATGTCCACCTGTGTGCAATCTGTGTCACACGATCTGTCATTACATATACACACCTTTTTTGAAAGGCCCCAGAGGTACAACTAACCAAACACTGCCATGAAGACCAAGTAACTCTCCAAACAAGTAAGGGACAATGTTGTTGAGAAGTACAAGTCAGGGTTAGGTTATAAAAAAAATCCAAATCTTTGAGCCCCATCAAATTTATGATAACCAAATGGAAAGAACATGGCACAACAGCAAACCTGCCAAGAGACGGCCGCCCACCAAAACTCACGGACCAAGCAAGGAGGGCATTAATCAGAGAGGCAGCACAGAGATCTAAGGTAACCCTGGAGGAGCTGCAGAGTTCCACAGCAGAGACTAAAGTATCTGTACATAGGACGACAATAATCTGTACGCTCCATAGAGTTGGGCTTTATGGCAGAGTGGCCAGAAGAAAGCCATTACTGATGAGACTAAAATTGATCTTTTCGGCCATCAAAGAAAACATTTTATCTGGCGCAAACCCAACACATCACCCAAAGAACACCATGTTTTTCAGCAGCCGGGACTGGAAAACTGGTCAGAGTTGAGGGAAAGATGGATGGTGCTAAATACAGGGATATTCTTGAACAAAACCTATAAAGCTCTGTGTGTGATTTGAGACTAGGATGGAGGATCACCTTCCAGCAGGGCAATGACCCCAAACACACTGCTAAAGCAACACGAGTGGTTTAAGGGGAAACATGTAAATGTGTTGGAATGGCCTAGTCAAAGCCCAGACCTCAATCCATTCGAAAATTTGTGGTCAGACTTAAAGATTGCTGTTCACAAGCGCATACCACTGGCGGATTCGGAGTCTTATCTCTGAAGGGGCACTCATAGATTATTTAAAGAAACAATCCAGGCACAATAACCACTACAGCTCTCTGTAGTGGTTATGGTGCCAGGAGTGCCGTGGCACGCTCCCAGAGTAAAATGTCAAACTGTTTAAGAACAGTTTGACAATTTACCTGGGGTCTGCCAGGATAGGGTCTCTAGTAATATGTGTGTGTGAGGGATGCAGGGTGGGTATGGGAGGGGGTGCAGTGGGAGCACTGTTTGTAGGAGGGGTTTAGTGCGTGCATGGGAGTGCAGTGTATATGGGGGTGCAGTGTTTGTAAGGGGAGAAGTGTGTGTAGTTGAAGGAGGGGGCAGAGCAAAACAAATGTATTTTTTTTTTTTTTAATTATTGCTGAGCTCCTTCCGGGTCTCCTCTCCCTCCTCTCTCTGTGCCTGCGGACTGGGGAGGTAGATCTCTGATCTCCTCTGTGGTCCGTGAAGGCACTTAGCAGGGCTGGCGCTCACAGGGAGGAGCGGCGGCGGAGGAAGAAGCAGCGACGTGGGACATCGTCACTGCCTCTGGTAAGTTACTGAAGGGGTTTTCACCCCTTCGGCGACCGGGGACTGGGGGATGGGAGGGAGAGGGAACCTGCAGTGCCAGGAAAACGGATTGTTTTTCTGGCACTGGAGTTTCCCTTTAATTCCAGGTTGTGAGGCAACAAAACATAAAAAATGCCAAGGGGGGTGAATACTTTTGCAAGGCACTGTATGTGTAAGAGGCACTAACCAGTTGAAAGTTCGAACTCAGTTGAGATTATGACCTTCGGACCTTCACATGATTAAATATTTTCGGATTAGTTCAAAAAAACAAAAATACCATCCCTTCAAATCCATCATTTAATTCTTCAAGTCCATCCTTTTATATTTGCAACCAGTTATATGCATAGCACAAAATTGTAGTGCTTTAGAGGGGAAGGGGTAAGCAGGAGATTTTTATAAAGAGAAGTTCTTTCCAATACCAGCTATTTTTGGTTTGAAGGAGGTCTAGGTTGTTTCTACTATGAAGATAGATTAAAATAAAAGTATAGCATTGGCAGCCTGCAGAACTGCAATATTTTACATTGCAGGGTTAAAACAGGGGCATGACACCCAGGCTACATCTACTCCATGTAGTGGTGTGCGTGCCTATAGTGTTCCTTTAAACAGTGTTAACCAGCTGTAAAAATTACTATTATAATATTGTGGAGTGGGACAGTAGAGTCAAGTCACTTTGTATACATTTCTTCATTGTGGCTTAAATTCTCGACTAGTCACACCAAGTATTTAAGGGGTGATTTACAACAGTCTGAGAATCAGCAAAAAACTCCCTATATTGTCCTTCATTTAGTCCCTGCTCGGGTTTTAAACTGTTTTTTGTTTTTTAAATGTTTTGGGCTTTTTTTTGCTCACTTGTCCCATTTCAGAGAGAACATTTGCATACTAGAATGATCCTGTCCATAAAAGCATTCTAGATCTGAGATGCTGGCATTTTCCCTCAGCATTAGGGATACAACTACCGCACACATTCATTTCATACTTTCTTTGGTTTTTGTCAATCCGACACCCCTCTGGACACACTATACTATATTCACAAATGTGTATTCCTAATACTATAATTCACTGTATAGGTGACCAGGCTCCAGCTTCATGGTTAAAAATAAGTTTAAATTGCCTTTTCTTACTTGCAGTTCTGGGCTCTGGCATTCCGCTGCACCTTTTAGTCTGTGCCCAGGGAATTCACTGATCAATGCCAAGCCCTCTGCTGGAACTGCAAGTGCACATGCGTCTCTCCTATGCTTGTCAGTGAGCTGTAATAACTCCACAAAGTTCTTCCCGATAAGCTCTAACTGATGTGGGAAAAAACTTGACTAGCTGTATGAAAGACCGCTTAGGAGGTGTTTCTGGCCCTAGTATAAAAAACAAAAAGGGCTGATTTTAATTTAAAATGGCACTTTTAAAAATTGTCACAAATATGACAGATTATGAAAGCTTGAAGGGCTCTGTGTGTGTCTTGTTAATTTAGGGGTAGGCAACCTTTGGCACTCCAGATGTGGACTGCTTCTCCCACAATGCTCTTTCAGCCATAATGCTGGCAAAGAATGAAGGGATACGTAGTCCACATCATCTGTGTATGCCGAAGGATGCCCACCCCTAATTTAAGGAGACTAACCAAATGCAAAGAGAGGATTTGAGAACTGGCATAAAAAATTAAAAAATAAACTGGCTTGCCGTTCAGTTAGTTCCTGCACAGGTCTGAGATTTTTGTTCACTAGTGCCCTTGCTGCCGTCTTTGTCAGTGTCAGCAAAAAGAACAGACTGATTTAGATGAGTTCTGTAAGTGTATAGTAATTACTGGTGGAAGATAAATACAAATGTCAATTCTTGGGTATAAGATATTCAGTACTGTTGTGTATGGGACACAACATTATTTTCAGCATTTGTATACATGTGGCGATTTACTCCCCAACAACAGTATCTATATCTGTTCTAAAAGCTAGGTGTCTACTTTATCAAACTTTTCTTCTCATTGAAAGCAGTTCAGGTTGGTACAATCAGAAAATGTTTTGCCATATATTTTACTGCCACTAGGTGCTGCTCACCGTATGCAGCATGTCAGAAGGTCCTAGTTAAAATACCTCCTTTAAGATCTTGTCATCAATTTTTGTGATCACTTATTAAATGCACACTTTATCACAATTATACTTCATCCCTTATAATGCATTTATAATTTAATGTAGTAAATAGCAATCCTGTAAATACTGCAGCTACTGGTTGGCCTGGATTTCAGCTCTGACCAAACGTATTCATTTAAATGTATGAAAAGACAAAATAAATTGGTCTCACAAGAAGTATAACTTCCAAAGGGTTAGTTTTGAAAAGCCTTTAAGTTTAGAAAGTATTTTTTTTCTGCAGAGGTAGTTTCTTTCAGGACTGCTTTCGACAAGAAGTGGCTTGATGTATGTAGGCTTTAAAAGGTCAGTGAAAGAACCATCACTTTTACATTTTTATTTTCAAATGTTTATTGAAATTATGCAAGAGCATACACAAATAAAAAATATCAATTTCTACAGTAGATGTACTCACAAGTAGGTGTTAACTGCAACCCTAGATATATACTCCCCTGGTCTAGCCGGTAAAAAATAAAACTGCCTTGGTCCAGCCAGCAGTAACCTCTTTATTGGCTGTAAACCACAAATTTATATCCCAGTTTTGCCTATTCTATATATATATCCCCCAGTTCCTAAGGTAGCACAGTCTGTTAGCCAGGGTTTCCGTGACAAGAACAATGCATCTAATTTACACAGACTGGTTTCTAAACACATTTATTATAGTTTAAAGACACTGATTACTATGAGTATTATTGCTGTGGAGCTCTGTTATACACTCAGACACAGCAACAATATGGAACTCCTAGAAAAGAGAGGGACAGATGAATTTGGGCCCAATATAAAATATGTCCCTCTAGATGTGGGCACGTGGGAAGTATGGTGTATCAAGTTTAATTTAGAAACGTGCCATGTCATATCTCATTGTACAGCGCTACGGAATTTGATGGTGCTATATAAATAATAAAATAATAATAATATTGCAATCTGCACTTTTTGTAAGATTAAAATAAAAAATACACTTTATACACTTTAAAAAGCGAGAGCACTTACTGTCATTCCGACCGGGTACAGGAAACAGAAGCGCCTGTACTGCCTGGTCACGTTACAAAGATAGGTACAAAGGTAGGAGGCATGGGGGGAGAGAGACAGGTCCACTAAAAGGGGGGGAGACAGGACTACTAAAGCAGTGGTGTATCCTGGTTTTGTGCTGCCCTAGGCAGGACAAAACTCAGGCAGCCCTGAGTGCATCTCTTAGACACACACTCAATGCACCCCTTAAAGACGCATACACTGCATTACATTACATACACAGAAACAGACCTTGCATTCCTTACACATACAAACACAGATTCACACAATGCATTCCTTACGCACAAACATACACTGCATCCCCTATACACACACTCACACTACATCCCTTACACAAATTGGTATCCCTATACACCACATTCCATAAGAACACACACACACACACACACATTACATCCTTTACAATAACACACAACACATCCCCTACACACATACACTCCACTTCACTCCCTGTGAGCGAACTCATGCGTGGGCCATGTAGGTGGACTTATGGGTGGGCCTTGTAGGCATAATCACGGTCAGGCCATGGGGGCCCAGACATTGAGCTGTGTAAGGGGCCCCAAAAAATGGAGCTGCTTCCTGTTTGTTTACTTTTGTGAGCACTGTTACAAACAGTCTCCAGAGAGCATGTTCTACACCAGACCAGTGGAGCCAGAATGCAGCCTGAGCCCATCATCAATCTCTTGTCCTCATCTGGTGGTAAGTAGGCAATCCAGTATATTATTAGTGGCAATAATCTCTAATTTACCTCACATTAAAGGGACACTACAGCTTAATGAAGTGGTTCTGGTGTCTATAGCCTGTCCCTGCAGGTTTTTTAATGTAAATACACTGCCTTTTCAGAGAAAAGACAGTGTGCAGCACTGGCATTGGCCCATGTGGCAGATTATATGGACGGGGCATTGTGTTGTCACATGGTGGGCAGAGCATATGGGGGGTAGCAAATTTTTGTTTGCATAGGGCGGAAAAAATCCTTTCACTGGCCCTGGGTACAGTAGCCGGCAGATGTAAATCAAGAAAGTAGGGGTGATTTTGGTAGGGGAAATAAGAAAGGCACAACATAGTGTTTAACTGTCCGTAAACATTTGTTAAAAAAGTTAAATTGGACACTAACACTTTTAATGCCAACTTCAGGCTTTCAGATAATCTTTAAAGAAATCACTCTCTTGCTTCAGAACCTTGACAGTCTCTTGTTTTATGTCTATGGTTGACGATTAGAGGAAATCTTCGGGGTGACTTCATTGCTGAAGGGAAGTTTTATTGATTTTATATTCATCATTTTTTGCACATAGTATTTGCACTTGTACATAAGTACTAGGTTGTGATTATCACCAGAAATATAGATGTAAATCAAGCCCTGGGTTGGGTGGCAGGATGTGAAAAGCCATTAAATAATGTGAAGCAGACAGGCAGAGAAGTATCAGAGTGCAGTCTGTCTGTGTAACAGTTTTAATGGTAAGGTCACTCATGTTGCAACTTCTCACATAAATTCTTCTCATTTTAGCTTTTTCTGTTTAACTTTTTAACTTTATTTTACCTTTTGTTTATGACTTTGAAATGTATTTGTTATGGTGCATAGAGTGATCCTTTAAATGAAATGTCTTTGAAGAATAAATACACCTTGCTTTAAGCTAGTTGCATGTTTTATATTTATTTCTGAGCAACTTGGTGTTTAACATGTGCTTGCGTTTTTTGTTTTTGGTGCCAAGCATGCACGTTCATTATAAAATAAAGTAGAAGTGAGATTACAGCAAGGGCCTTGGTTTTAGTCTGGGCAGGTTTTTGTTTACAGAAACACAAAGGGATTACTGTTCATTGGACAGTTCTGTGTATTGGCTGTATAGCAGCACTATATTACCTGATACAGATCACAAAGGAAATGTACACAGAGCTTATCACACACACTTTAAATACAAACAATGCATCAACTAAAAAAAAAAAGGAGGGGGGAGCTAAAAGGTTATGGGATAGTCTAAGCACTCCGGTGGAAAACAATGAGATGACTAAAATTGCTCTCCATTTTATCTGATGTGGCCCCAGTGAGACACAGGAAGGTTGTCAAAATGTGAAGAAAAAAAACAGTTTGATGTCTTACCATGGAATGCACTATTAGCACCATATCCATTAGAGCAGGCTGCAGTCTTTATAGTAGTTGGATTCTTCCTAGTAATACATTTATGTTTTACTTTGGGTAGTTTCAAATGCTGCATGCTAACAATACAAACAAACTCAGCAAAAGGGGACACTATAAGTACCATAACACCATATTTTAGTGGTTATGGTACCAGACGTAACTGAACACAATCCATCAGGAATCTGATAAACTGTTTTTGAATGGCTTGCCACTTAACCCTCTGTGTTCTGTACCTGCTGTCCATCTGGTCTGAGTTGATCTTAGAAAGTGAAAGTTCAAACTTCCATTTCATCATACTCAACTCAAACCAGGTTTAGAAAATAATGATTGGCTGGGAGAGTCAGCTGATGGCTCTTAGTCAATAAATACTTTCCAAACCTGGTATGATAATACGGAAATATGAACGTCCTTTTTATCAACTTAACTCAGACATGACCATGGGCGCCCAACACAGCAAAGCTACTGTCAAGCAAATCATAAACAGTTTGCTAAATTACTACTGTATAATAAGACTGCGCTGTACCCATGGATGTGTTTACCGCGAGGCAAACAAGGCATTTGCCTTGGGCAGCACTTTCTGGGAGGCGGCAAAAAAGCCGCCTCCCAATCGCCCTGGCAAATGCCTTGCCAGCCTCTTGTCCTGGGGGGCCCAGGAGCTGGCCGGGTGGCCACCTCAGGGTCCCCCAGGCTGGCAGCAGCGGCACTCTCCGGGCAGGCGGCGAGGGAGCACTGAGTTTTGTCATGCCTAGGGCAGCACAAAACCAGGATACACCACTGGCTATACCTATTATGGTGCTTAGAATGTCCCTCTAAGGATTGTAATCAGTACTACACTGTTTTTATTCCCTGTAAAAGATCACATAATATTTCTAAAATTAACATGTGTTTGAAAACCATTAAATTTGCCAAAAAATGGTGAGATGAATTACCCACATGAACCTTATCAAAATAGCAATTGTGTAATTAATTTACAAAAAGAGTATATTTTTCTGAGAATTAATTAATTTGGTTGCTGTATACATGGCTTCCATTTGCCCTGCTGTCATTGGCTTTCCTCTTAATGTGTCTACCTTCAAATGTAACAATTTTAGCCCCATCATACTGCGAAAGGCAAACTTACTGTGGGCAATGATAGACAGCAAGTTTGCAACACAACAGAAAAGGTTCTAAATAAATTAAATTGAAACATCTTTCTCTCCCATATTATGTTATACTAGATTAAATATACAGATGTTGTACCTGACTTGCAGTAAGCACATTTTTTGTGAGGTAATAATTCCCCATGGAAAAAAAAAATGTCTGCAATGGCACATAGTTTGTGGTGTTATTAAAAAAGGCAATTTCTAAGCAAAATGTTAAAATGGAGCAGTAACCATGGAAACCAATGGAATGTTCCTTCAGGGTGCTCAACTTTTAGAACGTTGCTCTAAATGTATTTAAATCCTTCTGTGTGTCTGACAAAAATGGATTAATTGTTAATATTCTCTGACATGCGCAAACTTAGCTAACACGTTTAGAGTATATAGCTTTTACTTCAATAATGAATACAATAGTATGTTGCAAGTACAAAGAGTACTTAATCTAGGTGGGGCTGCCAGCAACACCCCATAGTGTTTATTTAAAGTTGTATGTAAAGTGCAGTAGACTTCAGTTACTAGTAATGACTGCTAGGTACAGTATGTATTAAGCAGTGTTTACTTGGCAATCAGTAAGATCCCCTTTGCCCAGGTCACACATGTTGCTGTGCTTACATAAATGGGCACAGGGACAGCCCATCAGTAACACATGCAGCCTGAGGCTTGAGGTTGCTGGTCTTATTCCAAGCAGCCTAGCGATGTATTTTTGGCAGGACGCATACTAAGCTCTGCAGTGTGTGCAGGAGAGACGCACAGGGTATAGCGAGCTCTGCCAGCGGCTGTCTCTGCCTGAATCCTGGGCTCCTAGCTGGAGATTAATGCTGATCACTGTATGGTTATGCTCATCATAGAACAAGTCCTCAGAAAGCACCTCAGGGTTCCAAGCTTCACTAGAGGTAAGAGAGAGAGTGGGCACAGTATGTAGAGCAAATTGCTTTATTATTAGTATACTGCGTTATCAAAGCGCACAGGAAGGCCTGCATATTCCTGTGATTTTTCTACTGACAATGAATGTCTCAGGCAGCAGATTGTAGATATTATTCAGTCTGGATCTGCAATTCATAAGTATCTTCTCTCAGATTTTCTGATATCTACTTCATGCTTTACAAGCTGTCAGGAACAGGGCCATCTTTATTCCTCCTAGTTTTCCACAACTTGTAATGTAATGTCCCATTATTCTTCATGTTATTCCATTCTCAAACTAAGCTGTGGGATCCATCCATCCATCCATCCATCCAACCAAACCAACCCTCCGTTAGTCCACCCTGTTCTTCTGGAGTGGTTTGTCTCTTATTGCATCTTTTTGTATACATTTGGTTATAATGAATTTGTCTTTTACTAACCCTCTATCACAGTGTTGCATAACTTGTTGGTGCTTACAGTGGCATTGTTACCCCCACCCTTCCCACCAAGTGAGAGAGAATCTTTATGAAATACTCACATTGACTGTGTTGGAATTTCACTGAAATTAAATTCAGTGAAATTCCACATATGGCTCATACGAGTTTATTTTTTTTACATAATACTATCTCTTAAAGGACCACTCTAGGCACCCAGACCACTTCAGCTTAATGAAGTGGTCTGGGTGCCAGGTCCTTCTAGGGTTAACCCATTTTTTTCATAATTATAGCAGTTTCAGAGAAACTGCTATAATTATGAATGGGTTAAGCCTTCCCCCTAATCCTCTAGTGGCTGTCTCATTGACAGCCACTAGAGGCGCTTGCGTGCTTCTCACTGTGAAAATCACAGTGAGAGCACGCTAGCGTCCATAGGAAAGCATTGTAAATGCTTTCCTATGCGACGGGCTGAATGCGCGCGCAGCTCTTGCCGCGCGTGCGCATTCAGCCGGCGGGGCGTAACGGAGGCGGAGAGGAGGAGGAGAGCTCTCCGCCCAGCGCTGGAAAAAGGTAAGTTTTTACCCCTTTCCCCTTCCAGAGCCGGGCGGGAGGGGGTCCCTGAGGGTGGGGGCACCCTCAGGGCACTATAGTGCCAGGAAAACGAGTATGTTTTCCTGGCACTATAGTGGTCCTTTAAGTAATACTTTCTAATATTTCCATTTTTTTTTATTTAAATTAATTATATGCAATGCCACTTTATAATATTCCTTTCAGGATGTCTTATACACTGCCACTTCAATAAAATTTGTGTCACTAAGTATATCTTATGCAAACTTTTTGTTCATTATAAAATTAGACACTGCCACTTTAATTTATAGCACTCGTTCACTTTGTCAAAAAATATTAAAATTTTGTAGTAATTTGCCATTATTTATGTGTTTATATAAATTACTTGTGTGCCCGCACCCACACACACAACCACACACTTTAATATATTCTTCTAAAGGTGTCCTATGCATTGTTACTTTAAT